GTATGACCTTAGTGCATGCATGAGAGGCTCCTTGTTGAAAGAGAGACTTTAAGTTGCATTTTTTCTACTGAATCAAATGCTTTTTTTTTTGTAAAAACAACCAACAACAAATGCATCTTACATTTTTTTTCACATTACAATCCATTGTGCACCTGCTATAGAACATCATTTATCAAAGCTTGCCTGTTCTCTTCTCACATTTTCACAAAGAATACCCTTGCTAAGCATAAGGATTATTCTCATAAAGAGAAATAAATGAATAAAAAAAGCATTAATTGCTATGTTCAAAGCAGTGAGAAAGTAGCCATGTGGGTTGGAAGTTAGAGATGTTCTCTTGGTTGTTTCTGGGCATTTGCATTATCAGTAATTGTTTCCTTTCTTTTGGTGTCTTCTACTTCCAGAGGAAAAAATGCTTTCAAGATTGTATGGCAACCACCATGGATTTCTCAACTTGTATTTGATATAGTCTAGCCACTCTTCCCAATTCCATTTTCTCAACTGCCATTTCTACTCCTTCACGTGGCACAGTAACATTATCAAGGTTCAAAGGTGGTGGTGGTTCCCCTCTACTGATGATGAAAATGGATCACAGTAGAGATGATGACAAAGGCTTTTTTCCCCATTTTATGTCTATTAGTTGTCCTCCTATGAGCTTTTAGTCTTTCATATTTCTCAGACCTGAGCCATGTTCTCCAACACTGTTTTTTTTTTTAACCATCTTGACCTGCCCTCAACTTTGCATAGAAGTCAGTAATTATCAAGGAATATACTGACCTGATTTGGAGGGTCTTGTGGAATTCTTCATAGAATTTCTTTGCTTCTCCTTTGGCAACAGATAACATAAGCTTTAACTATTTTCAGCGCATGTCTTCTTACCTTTCAGCTCACATTGAAATCAACCACACCAACTCCTTTGTTCACATTAATACTAAAAGAAACATTTTTGGCTCAAGTGAACACTCCTGGAAGGTAGACATATTGTGTCCTCATTGTGCTGAGTGTCGGGTGAAGGCTAAGATTTAACATTCTATGAAGATAACCAACATAGTGGCTCCAAGCCTATGGATTCCCCAAACGTGATAATGTAGGAACTAGAGCAGAGGTGGATCAATATGAATAGTGTGAGACATTCCTTCAAAAGAGAGGGGAATAAACAGTGGGAAATTCGATACTGGATCAGAATCTCGGGAAGCCTGGGGGGAGGAACTACTCACCAAAATGGCTAACAAGGAGTTCTTACCCAAAGTGAGGAAATAGTAAGAGTCTCTAACTGCCTTTGATGACTTCAAATCACCTGGGCCGGATGAATTATCTCCTCAGGTACTTAAAGAGGATATGATTACTGGACTACTATCAGTAATATTTTAAAGATCAGGAAGAAAGGGAAAGGTACCATAATACTGGAGAAAGACAAATGTTTTGATTTTCCAAAAGGGGAAGATAATATAGCCTACAAACTATAAATCAGTGATCCTGATTCCAATCCCTAGGGAAAATCTTAGAATAGAAAATTAAAAAGGTGATTAATGAACAACTAGAAAAGGAAGGGGTGAGTATGAAGAATCATCATGATTCTATCAAGGAGATGTCATCCCCAAGTAAATTTTCCTTGGGTTATTAAACTGGTAGATCAGAAGAATGCTATAGAGTTAGTTTATTCAGACTTAAGCAAAACATTGGATTAAATATCTCTTAATATTCTTGTGGAAAAAATGGAGAGGTGTGGACTGGAAAGCAATACAGTAAGTTGGATTCAGCATTGGCTGCATGTTCGGACTCAAAGAGTAGTTAATAATTTTGTGTCATCTTGGAAGGCAAGCTTCAGTGGAGGGCCCCAGGGACCTATGCTTGGCCTTGGGCTGTTTAACATTCTTATCAATGACTTGCAAAAAGGAATAGATGGAATGTTTATCAGATTTGGAAATAACACAAAGCTGGGAGGGATAGCTAATGTACTAGGATCAGCTTCCTAAACTGTGGGTCATGACCCTATGTGGGTCATGAAAAATTTGGCAACAGTAAAAGGTTTCTGAACACATAATAACCAAAAATTAATTAAAAATCAAACATGTAATGAATCCGAGGTGTTTCTGGCAGTACTTGCCTGTGTTGCATCATGCAACTTCATTGCAGCCTTAGTTCTGAACACAACGCATGTGCATTTTGCATTGCACATGCCATCACGCTATGCAATGCCAATGAATGCTGCCAAAATGCAAAAAGGGGTGGTGAGTGGAAAAAATTTAAGAAGCCCTGCACTAGGTGACAAAGTCAGGAGCTAAAAGGATCTTACTAGGCTACAGCATTGGGCTAAATTTAGCAAGGTGAAATTCAATAGGAATAAATATAAAGTCTTACACTTGGGTTCAGAAAAGCAACTCCGTGATGGTGACAGGCATGGTTAGAGGTTTCTCTGAAAAAGATCTGGGGGTTTTAGCAAGTTGTAAGCTCAACAGAATTCAGCAATGTGATGAGGAAACCAAGAAAGCTCATGTGATCTTTGCCTGTATCATAAGAGACCTAGCTTGTGGGAATGGGGTGGTGATCATTCAGTCAGACCACTTCTGGAGGCTCCAGGGTTGGGCACCACTTATTGAGAACAACATTAATAAGTTTGAGAATGTCCAGGGGAGAACAACCAGGATATGGGAATCAGTTGAAGGAAGTGGAAAGATTTAGCTGGGATAAGAGAAGACTCAGGAGAGACGTGAGAGCAGTTTAGACTTGTTTTTGCTTGACTCCAGAGAACAAGACCAGGAGAAATAGGCAAGAGTTGCAAAGAGGCCAATTTCAGCTTGGTGTCTAACATTTAGATGATGATACCCCTGGGGAGGTAGGTGGGTTTCCATTCTTGGAAGGTCTTCAAGAAGAGGCTGGATGACTACTTTCCAGGAATGCTATGGTTTTTAGGCTTGCAAAATTGTACTGGTAGGGACATTAAAAAAAAGATTTAGTAGACATCATTCACCTCCAGGGTGATGAACTCGAGGCCCAGAGAGTGATTAAGGTCACATAGGCAGGAAGGGGCAGAGTTGAGGTTTGAACTCATGTTCTCTGACACCAAAGCCAGGGTTCTTTTCACTGAACCAAACTGCCCCCCCAGATTCTTTTTCATGTATAGGTAATGGGGATTCTTTTAGGAGGATGTGTTGGACTAGACGGTTGTTGACGTTTCTTCTAGCTCTAAGATTTTGTGATCATGAGAAAGAAGAACTGTGAATTTAAATAGACCCTCTATAATCTGGCTACATTACCTGATCATTAGCTGGCAGAGTTCTGAACCCCTTCCAGTTATTCTGTCTTACATGTCACTGGATTATTGGCAAGAAAGTGTGGACTGTTCTTTGTAAGCTCTCACCTCTATAAATAATTGATTCACTTGGTACTACTAATATATAAAACCCAATACAGGAAATAACATTATTTTTTAGCCTTAGAAGAGTTTAAGATTCTGGGGAGAGAGGAAGTCTCTCAGACAATCAGTGGATCAACCAACAATGTTTACAGAAAACACTCTAATAAATTATTTGGGGAGGAAAAAGAGATGAAAAGATATGTACAAACAAACAACATATATCTAAAAGCAGAGATACCAATAAAAGCTGTACAGAGATATAGAGTAAAACCCTAATGGCAATGGTTCAGGCAATGAAGGAGTCTAAATAATTGAATATATATATATATATATATAATATTATATATATATATATATATATATATATATATATATATATATATATATACATATATATATATATGTGTGTGTGTGTGTGTATACACATATATACATATATGTGTATATGTCTGTATACACACGCACATATGTATATAAAATTTATACTTTGTTGTATCAGAAAGTATAGTGTGGAGGGCACAACAAAATTGCTGTTTGCTAATTGGGCCATTGATATGACTATACAGCACAGTCTTGGAGATGGAGATACAAGAGATCTGGCTAAATGTTAACTGAACCCAGGCCATGCCTTGTAGGACATGGCTTTTTCAATCAGTCTCTGATCCTAGCTTGGTTTCTTGTGAATTGCTAATTTTACTTATACTTCAGGGCAGCAAAGATTCTGGTTGATTAAGGGCCCTGGCTAATTAGCTTTCACTTAATTGAGGTTTTATCTTAATTCCTATCTCACTAATTTGGAATCTTTAATCATCTGGACAAAAGAAGGGCTGTTTTGCTATTACTCATCATCTGGGGAAAGGCCTTGCTAATTATTTAACAACATAACCAAGAGTGTGTGTATATGTATGTGTGTGTGTGGAAAATATATAACAATAATAACAGCTAACACTTAGATAGTGCCTACTATGTGTCAGGCACTGTGCTGTGCACTTTAAGATCATTCTCTCATTTGATCCTTACTACAACCCCAGGTAGGTGCTATTATTATCCCCATTTTACAGATGAGGAAACTGAGGCAAACGAAGATTCGGAGCCTTGCTCAGGGTCACGTAGCTTGTAAGTATTTGAGGCCAGATTTGATCTCAGGTCTTCCTGACTCCAGGCCCAGAACTCTGGCCACTGCATCACCTAGTTGTGAAACTTCAAGAGTAAATATTTTAGCAGCACCCATGTTCATACAAGCAAAGTTCTAATCACAAATTATCCTTCATTATTTGTTGGTCATTATTTATTATATTTATCATATTTATTAGTTGTCAGTCATTATTTGTCAGTCCACCAGGATGGCTACTTTGGTAATACCTTGTTTATCACTAATTGTGGTTATTATATGTGCTGAAAGTTAATGATCTTATGACCAGTAAAAGAATATTCTCCATTCTTCTCAATTTATAGCAAGCTTGTATTATTGGCCTCTCTCTGTGCTCTAATCTGGACTCTTTTAATCCAGTTCAATTCAATAAATATTTAGAAAGTGCTTACTATGTGCAAGGCACTATGCTATGTGGTGGGGATACAAAGACAAAAACAAAACAGTCCATGGCCTCATAGGGATTATATTCTCCTAGGGTGTTGCCACACATACCCAGAGCTGATCATCATGGCCAGAAAGGTTCTTCTTTATGAATGCACCATAGTAGGTAGCGATGTTCCTGTGATGGGAATATTTCTTAAGCATGTTGATTTCCATTTTGATTTCTTCTTCTTCATCCTGTAGAACAAGAACAGACAGTGGGTTTCATTGTCAACTCTGTGCCATGTGCCTCAAAGATGATGGATCACTTAGCTGTTGGAGATCAAAGGATAAAAGAAAGCATAAGAATTGTACCAGGTCATACCAAGGGCCAATAAGATTTATATGATTACTGTAAATTAACGAAGTGGAGAGGTGTCAGGGGACAGAATTTGTAGGTCAGGTTCTATTTGGTTTCTATCACATGGTGTTATATTTTAGGGGATATAAGTTGTCAGAGACTCAGTCCCTACCCCTACTGTATAAATGGGGTACTTACTTCCATTCATCGGTGTTAAAACTACCTCTTTTAAAAGCTTTAAGGAATATACCTGGCTGAGGACAATGTATATCAAACAGAAAGAGCTCCTAAGACTGAAAATTAGGATACCTAGATTCTAATTCTGCTGATTGGCTCCAGGCAAGTCACTTAATCTCTCCAGGGGCCCTCAGGAAAAATTGGTGGAAGAATGACAACACTAAGAGTGCTGCTATAAATATCTTGTTATATATAGATCTTTCTGTCCTTTACTTCGTTGGGGTATAGGCCCAGTAATGGGATCCCTGCCTCAAAGTTTATGAACAGTTTAGTGATTTATCTCTCATGATTCCACATTGCTTTTGCAGAATGATTACACCAATTCACAGGTCCATCAACAAAGTAATTAGGTGCTTTTCTTCCTACAACTCCTCCAAAACTGAGCATTTTAACTTTTTCATGTTTGCCAGTTTGGGGAGTATAAGAGGAAGGCTAAGAGCTTTTGATCTGCATATCTTTATTATTAATGATTTGGGGCATTATTTTACATTGTTGTCAATCATTTGCATTTCTTCATCTGAAAACAGTTTGTTCAACTCTTTTGATTAAGTATCTATTGAGCAATGGCTCTTGGTTTTACACAGGGTGTCCCAAAGTCTTTGTGCAATTTTAAGTTTTTAAGTTATTACAGCTTTTAAAATTGGGATAACACCACTGAAGACCAAATCCAAAGCTAGAATGGTGGGATAAATGGGATTTCAAGACTCACACTCTTACCTGCACTGGACAAGGGATGTGTAAAAAGGAGTATAGTAGTAAAAATTTTTTAAAAATTAGGCTTGTTTCATAGGAAGCAATACTATCTCTGCTGTCTTCCTTAGACTCAGATCCCACTCCTCTACTTCCTTAAGTTATTAAAGCTTAAAACTGCACTAAGACTTTTAGGATACCCTGCATAATTGTTTCAATTCCCTATGTATGTTGAATATCAGATTTTTCTCACAGATATTTGAAACAAAACTTATTGCCTTCCCTCCCCCAAATGACAGTTTCTGTTATGCTGGTTACACTGATTTGGTTCATGCAAAAGCTTTTTAATTCTTTTAAACAAAATGATCTATCTTATCTCTTAGGGTTTCTATATTTCTTGCTTGGTTGAGAATTTCCTCTCTATCCATAATTACAAAAGCTATCTGGTTTTGTTTTCTTCTAATTTTTAATGACATGACCTTTTATATTCATTTGCATATCCACTTTGAGCTCATTTCAGTATATGGTGTAAAATGCTGGCCCAAATCTGAAGTATGCCAAGCTGCTTTCCACTTTTCAGAAAATTTCTTGTTGATTCTTTTTGTTAGTAACTTGTTTTCTTTGATTTATCAAATACTGGGTTTCAACTGCTTCTGGGTCTTGCTTATCTAGTTTTTTTTTTTTAATTGATCTTTTCTATTCCAATATAATACGATTTGATGGAGGGAAAAATAAACAATAACTGTGAATGGTAGTGGTATGAACTCATTTGATGCTTACTGCTTTGTAATGTAGATTATGAGTCATCTTCCTATGTTCAAATCCAGCCTCAGACCCTTATTATCTGTGTGACCCTGGGCAAGTCACTTAACCTTATTTAGCTCAGTTCTTCATCGTAAAATGAGCTGGAGAGGAAAATAGCAAACGATTCTAATATCTTTGCCGAATAGACCCCAAAGGAGGTCACAAAGAGTCATACACAACTGAAAAAAAAACTGACCAACAAATGTATGTGTATATTGTGGTTTTGTCGTTGTTGTTGTTTTTACAAGAAACAATTCTATCTCTGCTGTCTTCCTTAAATTCAGATGCCACTCTTTTACCTCCCTAGACTGGCTTGCTAACTGTTTTTTCTACTTTTACTACTATAATCCTTTTCATACTTCTCTTGCCCAGTTCAGGTAAGAGTGTGAATATTGAAATCCTATTTATCCCACCACTCTACCCCTTGATTTGGTCTTCAGTGTTGGCATCCCAATTTCAAGAAAGACTAAGTCCCTTCCTCTCCTTCCCTTCTCCTCTATGGTTTTTCTTTCTGAACACCTAATCCCATGGCTTTTCTCTTTATTCCCTCAATAACCCCCAGATGAACTGAGATTCCAAATGGGCAGTAAATTTGTGTTCTCTTTTAGTACATGAGGAATCATTACAACATTGTTGAGCCATGTGGATTTGTCTCAAGCTATTAGGACTTGATTACTTTTCTTAAGTTTCTTTTGTATGCTAGATTTTTATTTCAAACATCATGTTCAGTACTGATTTTCTTAAAAGGAAGGCTTAGAAATCATTAATTCTGTTAAAAGTTCCCCTTTTTCCTCCTTTAAAGTTAATCTTAACTTTGCAGGAAAAATTATCCTTGAGTGCAAGCCATTTTTTATTGCTTCTTGGTTTCTTTCATTTCTTTCCCTGGACAGTTCAGATAGGAGTTCATTGGTATATGAGCTATCTTTTCCTGGCTGCTTATAATATTTTCTTTTTGACCTAGATACTCTGGAGCCTGGGGACTAAATTTCCGGCTATGTTCAACCTATGGTCTATCTTTGGTGGAGTTCTGAGGATTCTCTCAATCTGCATTTTGTCAACTAGTTACAATATTTATTGTCAATTTTATCTTATGATTTCCCAAAATATAGCACTTAAACTTTTTTTTTTTTAGATCACGAGTTTCTGGAAGGCCAATAATTCACAGATTGTCTCATTTAATTCTGTATTACTAGTCAATTGTCTTAGCTTGTTGAAACCTCATGTGTTATTTTAATTTTGTTGTCTCTGGATGGTTCTAATATTTCTTGTTGGATCACTGAACTTTTGTGTTTCATTTCAATTTTATCTTTTAAGGGTATCTTCAAAAATTTTTGTATTTATGCCTTTTGTTTTTTATACCAGTCATTTCTAAATGTACCCCCATACAACCATATACTAAACCCGCCTATGTAAGAAAGAAAAACAGTTCAGTAAAACTGACTAAAAATGACCATGCTGGACAGCATATGTAATATTCTTCACCTATAGGCCCCTTCTCTCCACCTCTCTAAAGAGAAAAGGGAAGTGTGTTTCATCATCTGTTTTCCAGGATCAGTACTGGTCATTGCAATTAATCTGAGCCGAACATCTTTTAAGTGTTGATTTCATTTACATCACTGTGGTCACTGTGTATACTGTTCTTCTGGTTCATCTTACTTTGCTCTACACTAGTTCATATAGGTTTTCCTATATTTCTTTGAATTCCTCACATTTGTTATTTCTTACAGTGGATGTTCCATTATACATATATATCATGATTTATTTAGCCATATTCAGTGAGAACCCATTTTGTTTCCAGGTGTTTTTTTTTTTTTTGCTACCACACAAATGCTCACTGCTCTGTTAAATGACAACATGCACAAATAATTATATAAAATATATGACAAGAAAGTAGGGTCTATGGATAGTAATACATATATATATATATATATATATACACACACACATACACACACATATATATATGGATAGTAATCCAAATATATATGTATATATTCCAAATATGTGTATATATATATATATATGTATATATATATATATATATATATATATGTGTGTGTGTGTGTGTGTGTGTGTGTGTGTGTGTGTGTGTGTATGAATTTGGAAATAGGCATTTTTTATCCACTTGGTTTTTCCTGCATGTATCCATGTATATATTCCTGCCTATATATATGTATATCAATGACTATTACTAAGGGAAACACTTATTGGTAATTATGGATCTCTTTTAGAAAGCTTTTAAGTGTTCCTGCACTTGATATAATCAGTACAACAATGTCCACCAACTATATCACCATCTACAGGCAGCCACTCTTCCTTTTGGTCTCTCATTGTGGCCCACACCTTTGGTAATGGTACATCTCCTCCTTTTATGCCTTGCCTGGTATTTATAATTAGAGGGTCTTTGAACAACATTATTTTTATTGAAGCATCTTTCTTGGAATCTTGGATAATTTTCACATATGCCTTGGAGATATCTTGTGGGAGGACCTTTAAGGCAGCATTGTGTTTGACTGAATTAAATGCTTTTTTATACTCAACAAACAACAAAAACAGTGGGATCTTGCATTCTCTGCACTTTTGGGGTAATTCTGTGACTGTATAGAGGTGGTCTGCTGTGGAACATCATTTGTAAAAGGCTTCCTGTTCCCTTCTTATATCCTCATTAAGTATTCCTTTGATATGCTTTGATTATTTACATTAAAATGGTGTAAAAACAGGAAAGGAAGCATTTGGGTTAGGAGTTATTGAAAATCTCTCCATTGCCTGTTTTGGGGAAGTTATAATCTGGAATCTTTTATACCTTTCTTTTAGATAATGGTCCCTCTGAAAACCGTCACCTTTGGCATCCAACATGTATCTCCATTGTGTATAAATGGGCCTAGTCTAGCTATTCTTCCAATGTTTGTTTCCATTAATGCCATTTCTACCATTTCTACTTTGTAAGCAGCACCCTGGGTTGGGTTACCAGAGTCTATGCATGGTAGAACACTCCCCCATCACTGATGGAAAGAATCATTTGTTATAGGTATCCTGAAAGACCTTTTCTATTTTTTACTTATGTGTTTTCCCTTTTCCGGTTTCATCTTTACATGTTCTTGGGCTGGTCTGGTTTAAATAGGTCTTTGGCCAAGTCATTAACAGCCTTGTTTTTTCCTGCCCCCCT